TGGGGGCGGAGGCAATTTTTAATTGGTGTGCTAAGCTTTAGTAGATTAACTGTACCGCGTCATTGGGTAAAACTGCATCCATGAAAAAATAACTTGGTTATGTAACTTGATAGCATGAGATGAAATTCTTGTGCTGACTTTGACAAAGGAAGAGAGAGGCTTCAGCATTTTCTTTGCTTGCCTTTGAGTGCTAGGCCAATAGAGTAGCACAAGCGGGGACCCACAAGGAACTTGTGGGAGCAGCTATCCCATTCCACCCACCTTTGCTTCCTCCCCTTACTTCTCTCAGTCTCTCTCTTTCTCCCTCCTGCCATCCTTTTTCTAACTCTCTCACCTCCATGCTTGTCACACTCTCTCTCTCTCTCTCTCTCTCTCTCTTTCTGCCCCACTTCATCACTTTCTCTTCCTTTTTCAGCCTCCCACCTCATCACTCTCTCTCTTTTTCTGCTTCTCCACCTCATTACTATCTCTTTCTGCCCTGTCACTCTCCTGGCCTTCCACCTGCTTCCCCCCCCCCCAGTGGCAGCAGTGGCTCTCCAGGAATCACAATCAATCTTCCAACTACAGAGATCAGTTCTTCTTAGGGTTGCCAGCTCCAGGTTGGGAAATTCCTGGAGATTTGAGGTTGGAGCCTTGGGTGAGGTTTAGAGAGGCCTCCTTCCATAGAGGCCACCTTCCAAAGCAGTCATTTTCTCCACGGGGACTGAACTCTGTCATCTGGAGATCAGTTATAATTCCAAGTGCCAGCCTCCAGGTGGGACCTGGAGATCCCCCAGAACTGAACTCCAGACAACAGAGATCTGTCCCCCTGGAGAAAATGGCTGCTTTGGAGGGTGGACTCTGTGGCATTATACCATGCTGAAGCCTCTCCCCTCTCCAAACCCTGCACTCCTCAGACTTCACCATAAAATCTCCAGGAATTTCCCAACCTTGATTTGGCAACACCAGTCAGGCCTAGCCCCAACGAATCCTTCCTCAAAGGCCAAAATAGGCCTGGAAAGGCCCTGCCCCCTCCCCCTGCCTTTTTACTCACAGAAGCCCAGCCTGTGGAATACTGTGAGGAATCCATTTTTTAAAGCTACAAGTGCTCCTTTTATCATTTTCAGATTTTTTAAAATCCCCAATGGGTTTCCCACACACACACACACACATTTTTCTGCAAACCTGCCGACTTCTATATTAGAATATAAGATTTTCAAATCATGTCTTCGTAGTGTCCTTCAATTCATTGTTAGGACAAACCGCTGAATGAAGAAGAACGCATTGTTTAAAAAACCATGTGACATCAACTATTATTGTAAAAATAGCATGTTCCTGACACATTGTTGCCCTAAACCATAGTGATATTTATTGATCTTGCACAACTGTCATTCTCCTCTTCGCTGCTTTATAACTTATTCTCCCTTGTTCACGTTCACAGATCTTGCCTTTATCACAACTGTGACCTTCCTGTGGAAAGTGTCAGCCATCACTGTCGTAAGCTGTCTTCCACTTTATATTCTGAAGTACTTAAAACGTAAATTTTCTCCTCCAAGTTACTCCAAACTTACCTCGTAAAAATGACTGAACATCTGGTAGGGGGAGGATACACCTACATGACTTTAGCTAGAAATTGCTTCTCCTCCTACTTCAGTCTGCGATAAGTTAAGCAGAGGAAAAGAAAACCAAGAAAAGAGAGGAGCGCAAACAGCACAAAAACAATGGGAGCATCTGATAGATTTCACGGTGAACTAAATTAACAAAACCACCCAGATAAGATGGTTCATCTTGTGTATTTTCTTATTTTCTAAGTTAATACTGCTTCTGATTGATTTAATTACTACTGTAAAGGATTTATTCCTACTGCAGTAATTTTTCTGCATAATTTCCTAACAACCGCATTCTTTGATAGAAGTGTTAGTTCATTCCCACATAAATAAAATGTAACAAACTTAGAAACTGTAAATGCCATTGTCTGTATTTGCTGCTATATGTAACTCTGATATATGCACTATATGAATAACAGATGTCTGCATAGCACAGTATTAGTTTGGGAGCTGTAGTTCTCTTTTCTGTATTTCTCCATTGCCAGCTGCGTTAAGACATGTGAATATCTGAGTTATTGATAGCAGCCTTTCCGGTGCACAAAGGGGCAAAGTTGCACAAAACATGACGAAAATACATTTCTGTACATAATTCTGTTGCGCCTACTGATCTGTATAGAAGACTTCTACTGTTCAGTAAATGTTTTGTAAGTTCCTACCCATTTTGTATTTGTAAATCTGCACACACAAAGTGTGTCAGCACAGAACTAGCCATTCCATAGATAGCAGTTAACCTTGTGTTACTTAATGGAAACAATCCACCAAATGCTTCTGTGCTACTTGAATCATTTTAGAGAAGATTCTACAAAAGCCCTATTGATATGAATGGAAGTTTGTGGTGGACGTAGACTGTGCCCAAACTCCCATTCAGCAATCCATCAAGGTATGGGAGTCCCTATGCCCATTCACGGTTCCCCTGCCTGTTCACAGTTATCCCTCTGATTTCATTAGAGGGAGTTGATTCCCACACACATTCCTTTGTCCAAGCAGGCTGGTTTTAATTTAAATCCAGAAAGAAGATCCCCGCACATGCTAGAGCTCCAAATCTGTGTAGACTGTACACAGATGTATAGGCAGTTATCTATACATTGCCTTGTAATCTGTTTACTGAAGGTTACTCAGGTAAAAATAATAAAATGGACATATAAATAATGGTAGAAAATCCATCATCTTCCAAACCATAATTTTTATATTTGAGTTACTACAAAAAAGAAAAGAAAATCACTCTAATCTGATATAATCTTGAAGGATAGTTGTCTAAACCGTATGTGCTTTGCTGTTATGCAGGATGGGGGGGTTGTCCCCCCCCCCGCAGTGCCGTTTCCCTTTTCAAGAAAAATATGTTTCCCGTTTGTTCAGAAGAGTCAGTTATCAGACGAAAGAATAAACATAATTTAACCATCCTTCTTTATTAAAGAAGATTTTTGTATGTTAAGAATTGTCTTTTTATATCATATTATTTTATTAGACTGCTTCACAGCAGAATTCTTTTTGTAGTCCCTCAGAACAAGTGTCTTGCACCGTTGTTATTTGATAATGATGCTAACACTAAAGCACTTCCAGAAAAGCACTTCCAGAAAATGACTGTTGCAGAACTATTTTGAGTTAACAATCCACTCCATTCGTTTGGAAGATGTTTAACAGCAATTAATCCTTGCTTTTCTTTTTTTTTTAAAACAATTCTTCATTATAAAAGCAATAAAGCCTAATTTCTACCAAATATTATTATTGAAGGTCTGTAAAATAAATGTTGTTTGGTAGTGTTTCTTTACACTGTGCTTGTTTAATCTGTTTTCTGTGACCTTATGCAGTAAACAACTGTTCATAGTGGCCACTAGATGTCACTGGGTCTGGGGGTTGTCTTTGTGCCACCACAAGGCTTTGCTCATTATATGAGAACCTTGCAAGGTTTTATTTATGTGTTAACATGGCTTTAGCCTCCCCTTTTCAACTGCTAGATCATTTTGGAGGAGCTATATAGAAACAAATACAAATAACTGCCAGCTAATGAACAGAGTAGTTCACTATATTAATACCAATGTCTTTTTTTTTTTACTGTGACTCTTTGTCTGGTATGTTCTGAGTAGGCAAGCCTTTACTGTGTGGAGCTCATTCCATGAACGAAGCTTTAAAAATGCTCTGTCATCCTTGATTTACAATACCTTTTATTGTGGGCTAAGTTAATAACGAAACAAATTTAGACAACTGGACAAATGCAAGGAATAGTTTAACCCTAGCACATCTGTGTACAAGAACTCCTATATATATTATACATATACCTGTATTCTGTGTATTCTATGTATATAATTGTGTATATATGTATATTAAAAACTGACTAACAATTATGTGGTTAGTGTGAAAGCAATGTGTAAAAAGCATACAGTTAACCAACACATGTAACCTGCCACATATACCAGATGGAAGCAGGCTGCTTTTGGAGGGACAGAAAGCATTACCATTTCATATGTGCTGTGCTGTCAATATGAGGCTTGCCCAGGTGTGTTTGGGGGAGGGGTATCCCAAAATCTTTCCAGACTTGAGCCCTGTATGGGGACACAGGGAAGTGAGATGTGTTGTGAGTGTAGTCTTCCTTTACCCCAAGACAGTGGCGCAGTGTCAGTTCCAAGTGAACTGCAGAATTCAGTTTCCTGAGGTTCTAAGTTTTGAATAAAACTCATTTCTAGTTCTTACACCTAACTGTATGATGATAAACTCAGAAAGGGCACACTCAGTGGTTTGCCGAAAACTCAAAAACCGTTCAGTTGTGGAGAGTACAAAGCCCAGATTGCTGCGTATACCGTGCACAGCTTCTCTCCTCGTACCTGAATAACTCTTATTTCAATCAGATCTTTTGCTCCTAGGGCCAGCTGAAGGTATTTTGTCACCCATTTGCTCCTGGGTCCAGGCTGCCAGCAGCTAGGTCCAGAAGAAAATGCCAGTCACTGGTGCACAGGAGCGATATAAATGTCTGCAGGACATAGGTGCTTCGGATGGTTTGGCCGAATAACTGGTTCCGTGTACTTTTCATCCCTTTCTTAAAAATACTTCTCACTTTGCCAAGGCTGGAAATGATCTCTTGACTATCTCTGCAAAGCCTGGTTGGCTCTTCTGAAACGCCATTTTTAAAAAATCTCTTTCCTGGTGTAAGGAAAGTGCAGGAATCTGGTCCTGCTCCCCGCAACGCTCTTTTGTTTTAACAGCACATTTTTACATCTTAGGCTGGTATTATTATTATAACTCAGTTGAAATGAAAATAATAAAAAGCCCTTCAATATGCTAGCCCCCCTGCAGGGAAGAAAATCAGTAGTAGGGAATGGAGACAGCCCAGTCCCGGAATTATATGTAAACAAACAGGAGGTACAATATCTTTTAACGCTGTGTTGGAAAGCATAGGAATTTTGCTGGTAAACAAAACACAGTCAGAGCTATATGATTCCCGGCCAGTATTAACAACCTAACAGATGCCCTCAGCAGGGTTCACAGCTGTTATTGTGCGAGTTGGATTGTGCTCAGCCAATTGCCGGTGAAAATCTTCTTCGGATGCGGAACTACAGTCAAAGGCCTATTTGCTACTCCATCAACTGAGCCATAGATTTGATGAGTGCATTCTGTAGCACAGTCAGCACAGTCAGATGCCTTGAACGGAAAACATTCATGAACCACTTTGCAATCACAGGTCTCTCTCTCCCCCTTCTGTTGTTACTTTTATTCCAAGTTAGGGTGCGGGCTAATATTTGGCAGCCATTTGTCTGATTCTCTAGGCATGCACACAGCAAGGTGTGAGTTTGTACTTTAAGGAAAACCCAAGGCAAGCGGGCTTACCGAGAAGGTCTTGAACTTTGGGGGAGGGGGGAGTTGAATAACATGTGATGGATTACTGTTTTGGTGGCTTTGTCTGACTTATTTGTTATTGAGGCATCTCTTACTCTTTTACACAGTGCGTGCATACCAGGGACACACTGGCTGCTATCAAAACACAGTGCGTGCATACCAGGGACACACTGTGGCTGCTGTCAAAGCCGCCGGACAAAATGCATCTGCTGGTGATGCTTGTTCAGCTACTAAACCCTGAGCTCCATGTACGTGTGTGTATGACAGAGAGAGAGAACGGGGCCTGAGTGTCAGATGATGCTCGAATCCTCACTGTGCCATAGAATTTTGCTAGAGATGTTGAGCATGGAAACAATTCTAAGACAGGTTGGAAGACATCAGAAGCAACAAACTAGTTAGAGAGTAAATGGTTTGTACGTGTGTGTATGACAGAGAGAGAGAGAACGGGGCCTGGAAAAGGAAGAGTGTCAGACGATGCTCGAATACTCACTGTGCCATAGAATTTTGCTAAGATGTTGAGCATGGAAACAATTCTAAGACAGGTTGGAAGACATCAGAAGCAACAAACTAGTTAGAGAGTAAATGGTTTTGAAGACAATTTAGGTGTTAGTACACTCCCCAGCAGTACAGTCACTGTTTTTAAGCACTGCTACACAAGATATAGGATGCACAATATAAAGGGGGAAATTCACAGGGGATGGGGGTGTGCAGCAAACACACTCTCAAGATGCTTTAGAGCAGGGGTGTCAAACATGTGGCCCGGGGGCCAGATCAGGCCCCCGGAGGGCTTCCATCAGGCCCACAGAGGAACTGGCCATCTCCTGCTTCCAGTTCTGCTGCTGCATCATAGCTTGCTTTGCCGGACTCTCTTAATCACTCAGCCATTTCATGTTTTAATCTGGGTCCTAGACTCAGAACTCTGAGCATGAGATTTCTGTGGTGAATGTCAATAAATCTAAAGTAGGTTTGCAGCTTACAGAGCTAATGTTTTAAGCATGTTTTATTTTAAGTTTAAAAAAAACCCTTTGTGTTTGTGTCCTTTATAAAGTTTATATCTCCGTTACCTGGCATTACATTTTATGACACACATAGCCTGGCCCCAACAAGGTCTCCTTTATGTCAGATCCGGCCCGCATAACAAATGAGTTCGACACTCCTGCTTTAGAGGGTCAGGAAATATGCAGGGTCCCCAGAGTTCTTACATCAAGAGAAGACCCATACAACTTAGGCCTGTTATTGCAGCCTTGATCCACGGTTCCTGGTTTCAGTGGACCAGTGATGGTGTTGGACCAGGCAGCCCGGTATAAATTGTAACTCAGCCACATACCTCACCAGGCTGAGGGCAAGTCACTCTCTGTTTTTGGTCTTCATCTGTAAAATTGGACTAAAAATACATTCCTTCACAGTGTTGTTCTGTAGATAAATAAAATGTGCCCTGAGCCCTCTGGTGGGCATTCTATCAAAAGTATCTTATTTAAAAAAAAACAAAAATGGGGGGAAAACAAAGTGGATCCACATTTATGCTTGGTTTTACATTAGGCTTGTGTTTCTGTTTTACCTTCTTTAAAGGATCGAGGTGGAGCTGCCCTTCTCCGACACCAGGTTATAGAGCTGGTGTTTTTCATTTCAGAAAACCAGCCATATTGTAGACATTATCTAAGCTTAAGAAAGAGTTGCCTTCAGTTCCTTTTGGGATGGATGTCTAATTGTCAAGATATGTGTGATTTCCCTTTGCAGGTGGGGACCTACTGGTCTGGGACAAATCATCTCGACAACCCTGGCCTTGATGGCAAAAATTTTGCAGTCTCTCTTCTTGATAACTGCATGACTGTCTCTAACCTTATTTCATAGAGAGGGCTATACGTCACAATCAAAAAAAAAATTCCATTGCTTTCTGTTTGCTGCTTCTATTTTGGAGGGGGAGGATGAGACTAACATCCTGATCTCATGAGCCCCCATAGCTACAACAGAACACTCACTGGTTTCCTAAGATGTAGCCGCTCTACCTTTTTTGCATGGAAAGTAGGACTCTCTGCGTCTTAATCCTGCTATCGCACATTGTTAGTAGTGATCTCAAATAAGGGTGTGGTTGGAATGCCCATGATGACAGCCGCTTTGCTGGAGCTAATCCAGGCTGGGTCTGGTCAGTACCTTCAGTTCCATGATGAAAGGCAAACTGGATATAAGTGAATAAGATTCTAGAAGTGAAAGGTTGTGCTAACATAGTCTTGGGACCTATGAACAAGTTCTGTGTATGCTAGGCAGCCTCAGCTGTGGAGCGCACTCCCTCATCTGCTAGGATCCAAGCCATAGTTCAGGAAGGCAATGTGGTTTGGGGGTTAGGGTGTCTGGCAAAGGTCTGAGAGACCCAGGGTTTGGGGTTTTTTATTTGCCATGGAAATTCTTTGGATGACCCTGGGTCATTCATTCCTTTTCAGCTTAACCTACTTCACAAGGTGGTGGTTGTGAGGATAAAGTAGAGGAGGGCAGAACACTGCAAGGTATTTTCGGCCCCCATTGGGGAGAAAAGCAGTGTATAGATACCTAACATACAGTAGCTAAAATCCTCTAGGATGTTGTACCTATGGGTACTGTTGTAGCTATGTGTTGTATCTATGTATTCTGTTCGTAGCTGTGGGTACTCATAAGATACGTAAGGTATTTTCGGCCCCCATTGGGGAGAAAAGCAGTGTATAGATACCTAACATACAGTAGCTAAAATCCTCTAGGATGTTGTACCTATGGGTACTGTTGTAGCTATGTGTTGTATCTATGTATTCTGTTTGTAGCTGTGGGTAATCATAAGATACGTATGGTGTCCCCCTTAACAGTGCTCCTGATCATGTTACCACACACGTACAACGATAGTCTGGGTCAGTTCACTATGTCATCAGTTTTACCAGACTGGGAAACAAGGAAGTAGGGGCAAAGGCATGCCCTGTCCAGTCCTGCAACTGAAGAATCTCACAGTACAATACTAAACAGAGTTATACTATTCTAAGTATACTGAAGTCAACAGGCTTTGAGGGTGTTACTCCAGTGTCATCCTCCAACTTCCCTTGTTTTTCCCAAAGTAGTTCGCTCACGTGCTGGAATTTTGGAGCCCAGAGAGAGAGAGAGTCTAGCCACAGCTGTCTAGCAATACCTTCTTTGTGAAAGTTGGAGGCAAAGAGTAACACAGGCACCCCGCTTACCTGCCATCTGTCCAAAAGCAATTACTTCAAAATGGCAGAAGAGCTCCGAAAGGAGTTATACCTCAGCAGTAGCTCAGAGCTAGCATGGTCACTGACCTGCTACTTGGTAGCACAAGAGTCCCTCTTCCTGACACAAAACTAATTCATTCTGCCATTAAGACGCATGAGCACATTAAGCAGTGGAGTTCATCCAAGGGGTGAGGGGAGGAGAGAGAAATCTGTGGAAAA